ACACACACACACACACACACACACACACACACACACACACACACACATGATGCGCAATTTGCACGCGATGCACTCGCATACACGTTTGCCATCGTGATAACGTTCATCATCTTTCCGTCATCGTTCTACATTAATGCAGAACGTCAAGAACTCAGGATCCCATGATGAATGCATGAAAATTTACAGCAGTTGGAAGTATAGAGTTGACGACCGCGCGCGTATAAGCGTCATTGGCGTTCCCTTTCGTTTCCCAATGAATCAAACGGCTCTCCGTCCACGGTGAAAGGTCGAATAAAACGAGGAGGAAAGAATTTCACGATCGACATGGGCGAGCGGTGTTTCACCGATAAGCGGTGGAAGCGTTTGGAATAAAAAATTTCAATATTCGCGCGACTACTGCATATTTGCTCGTGTATAACGAGCACTGAATCAGCGGGGTATATTTTTGCGTTGTGAAAAGCGTAATTAAAATGTATGATTTGCGATTTATATAAATGTGCATTTTTAATTTATTTTTTATCATTTTTTACAGAGTAAAAAAGAACGGATGGTGATAACGTATATTTGAGTGGCGCGATTTTAAAATTGTTGATATTAAAAATCAGAAGCTTAATATTTATGTAAATACGATAAACTGTGTAGTTATTTTTTCTACATTCTTGAGAATACCATATATTTTCTAATTTAAAATTGTATGAAATATTCATACTAATTGAATTAAATATCTTGGAATTATTGATGCTATATCGAAGAAATATATCAAAGCTGTTGCAGAATCAGTTTAGATATTCGAAGTAAGTACTAGCTACGTGATCGTCGTAAGAGTGTAAATCGATTTTATTATTACCGTAACATTGAATGGAGGTCACCCGTGACCAGGTAAATGTTGAGCCATCTGCGACGACCAAAAGTAGATTTCATTTTTTGGTATCAGTCCAAGTAGCTCCTCGAATTAAAGCCGATAAAGCACAGCTGTGACTTAAATTGGTATGCGCATAAGCACTAACAAAAGTACCGTCATTACCTTGAGTCACATTCTCCTGTTTTATATATTTTTGAAATTCAATTCGCATAGAGTATATTTATTAAGGAATATTTTAATGATCTAATTTTTGGTCTGTATTACAGCATTTTAATTTTCGATAGTTTTAAATTTAAATAATATACATGTTTACAAGAGGTATAGTAGGATATAATTGTACACATTTTATTTTCCATTTAAGTTACTAATTATTTTTTATACTAGTTTTTGAAACAAATTGACGAATCTTTAGACGTTAAAATTATTTAAATAATTAATTTTTAATAATGATGATTTGACGTTCTAACAAGTGCAATGACCTTTCACCGTGTGATGCCAAGTCAATTAAAAAAAAAAAAAAAAAAATGACTATGAGAATGAAGACTGCGTGTAAGCCCAAAATGACGAGAGAAGCAGCTATGCTTAGTAAGTTTGTCGTATGCATGTACTTTGTACTATCAAAGAAGTGGTGTTTTTCATTATATATCGATTATCGTTCTATTTCTATGGCACGAAACAACAAGCATCCGTGTTTTTTATAATATTAATATAGGTACATATAATATACAACATGATATTATATCATATGGCTCACAAAATAATGCGAGCGAAAATGACTTGATGGATTCCGTATCGTGTTTGTGGAATTTAATCTCAAGAGTGATAAAATTTGTGAATGTCTTTAAAATAATCAATGTCAAACAAATAATTTAAAAAAATCCCCTATTATTTCATATCTGATTATTTTAACTGAATAGTAGCACTTTCTAAATTTTTTTTCTAACTCCATCAAGTTTCTTCGCCGTTACATTAACTATTGTTTATCAAAAGCACACTTTTTTAACAAATCACACGATTTGCCACTTTAGTCTGCTACCTTTATATAAACATATACAGGAATACAATGTTACTTATTATATTGCACCACATTAATTAGGACGAAATATCAGTGCAACTCTTGATACATCTAATATTCGAGTTATTACTGAATACATAATTCTTGAAATCAAATCATGTAAAATGATCGCAACAGATTCGGTAATATTTGGTAATATTGTTCAAAAAATATTGAAGATATAATTTTATTGGTTTTAATTATGCGTAAATTGTCTTGCATGATTTGATCATCAGTTTTACACAAAAGATACATATATACATTTGATTATATTATTACAAAACGTAACCAATCGCGAAATACACTTTAGAAATCCCAATTTTTATTTATCTTCCCGATTCTCCTAAAGAACAAGGAAATTAGAGGAAAATTAGTAGAATTTTTTTAGTTTCCAAAGCAGTGTTCTTTGGCACCCATTTCAAAAGTATAGGTGACACCATGTTCGAAATGGTGCTGATTGGTCGAAATTGCCGGCATCATATGCTACAATAGTGTTTGCATGCTGTTAAATTTATTTTTACACTTTGCACAAGATGACGGCATTTGTTTTTCTGCTCCTCGTAATAGGAGATACGCGGAATGATCGAAGTTAATTAACATTACTTAACCACTTGATGAGTGGCTAATTCAAGAATCATGATGCATGTTTTTTATAAAACGGGGAACTAACGGCACTGTGTTTCATGGAACGATTGACTTGACTCGCATCAATTCGTAAGATTACAGAAACGAATTGTTATTTTTCACGCTATGAGATACTTGAATTCTCTACGATGGCCGCGCATCGCTAATCTAATAATGCGCACAATTTACGTCGTGCTAACATGTAGTTTCATCAGTTAATATGATCTAACGAAGTCTCATGGGCGTGTTAGCACATTGGCACGATTATATTCGATGCTATTAATTTATCAATTTTTCGCATAAGTAATTTAGGCTCAGTTAGTTTATAAATAATTTGAATTTTTATCCTATTCGCTTGAATGAGCAGCTTTGAATGCAGCAACAGTTGAGGATTAAGGAAAGAGCAAGTTGTAATGCATATCGGAAAATGGGAGGATATGTATAAATTAGAATAAATTTATTTTATTGTTATATATATGCTCCGTATCGTTATTCATCATATTTTCGACGTATTATCATAATAGGTGAAAGATTTTGAAATATATTCCGTATTTTGTGTTCGGCAAAATCGAATATCAATCTCATCCATTAAAAATTCGATTGAAGAAGTGATTATTGTATATTGTTGTAGAATAAAAAATCTCGTATGTTTTTTTAATATAGTGCAGCGATATAGAAGTTAACTACAAATAAGAGTTTGTTTCAAAAAGTTCAGAACGCATTTTGTCAGTTGACAATTGCTGGAAAGCGTTTTGGATTATTTAGAGACAACTGAAAACAGAGTGAAGACCTACCTTTTTAAAAGTTTCTATATTTTTTGTTTCCAAAGTTTGAACTGCTTCGCATTATAATTTCCTATTTTTAGAATTTGCAATTCGACTAGAATAATATACTGTTATCTTAACATTTTACAAACTGAAGATTTTTAGTATAAAATATTTCCGTTGTATCCATAAAAATATAATTGTTTTCCTTTTTTTAAAAACGAATTCAGTAATTAACGTGAAAAAAAGTATTTAATACATTTCTTTTATACACTTTTACTTTTACTTTTACGCTAAAATAGAGTCAAAGAATAATTAATCGATTTGTGTAACTATTTGTACTATCGCTATTAAAATAGTCTACACAATTCAATTCAATCACGCAAAATATATGTCAACTTTAAAAGAGCATCGTACTATGATTCTAAACGTATTTCAATCGGTTGATCGTATCTATCATCTTGCGATTTATTACACTCTACCGTTTGACAATAAACGATCAGGACTTAGCGAAACTGGAACACGAGCAAACAGAGAAAGAAAGAAAACAAAAAAAAATACAAATATAAAAAGATTCAGGTTAGGGGTCTGTTCTGACGGCAACGGATGATTGTGGGTGTGTAGGCGGTGTTCGCCAGCTGGATCCCAGAGATCACGGAGCTCGCCGCGAATCGCAGCAAGTACGGTGGCCAGTACAGCCGCGAGCGTGGACGCAGGTACCCCAGAAATCCACCTACGTGGAAGCCAGCCATGAAACAATCCCTTTGAAATTTAGCCCTCGTGTTGTCGCCCCCTCACAGTAGTCATATATAGATACGAGATGTAGCGAAATTGCCCTTGGATAGCGGGTGGTCTCGTCATGCCGGCGCCGGCGTTCATCATGATTTTTCCCGTGCTTTCGGCATCACTGTATCATAGCATCGCTGCGACTCGCAATTAGAGAGGCATTTTAATTAGGAGAGAGGACGGGGGCTGGACGAATCGCAAGACAAATCTCTATCACGAACGGTCAACGCGTTATCCGCGTGTTTTCGCCTGTTTTATCGTCGTATCAGCGGTAAAGTTCGGCGCAACAAGAAAAGACGGATGAGAGAAGCTGGATAAACATGGTATGGCGTAACGAAATCCGTATATCTTAATGATTGCGCTATCGTTGGTGCGCGCGACCCAGTTCTCCGATTGTAATATTGTTTTTCTCGCGTGAAGAAAGAGAGGTAAGGTCGAACGTTACGCGCGTGGCTTGATTTTTTCCTCGAGAAACTAAAACAAATTTTATATTGTTTGCCCGGGTTTGTATAATATACATTCAAGCAAACGGGACCACTCTCGCTATCTGCGACGAACTTACTCTCCAATTAGTAAATATGTCCCTTCCCCTCTCCCCAATCCTCTCGGCCCACATTATTATCGTGGATCCGTGACTGTTAAAGAAAAATTCCGGATTTCTCGTGCCACAATCTTCTCCTCTTTTTAATCACCTCTTGTCTCACCGTTTCTTTAACACGCCCTATTCTCACCGCTTTT